GAGGCATTGTCTATGTGGACTTTTTTAGTGGCATTTAAATTTGTTCTTTAAGCCTACTTACTAGCCACACAAATAAATTATCAGTTATAAAATATTTGCAGAACTTTTGTCATTTTTCAGCATCTGGTTCATGAACTATTGTAAATGTAATTAAAGGGAATTTGCCAAAAGTAAATCATTGTACACAATAGGAAGTCAAAAGTGGCTCAAAAACTAATTAATGGACTGCTATACATATATATATACACGTATTATTTATATACATATATATATAATATGTATATATATACATATTATATATATATGTATATAAATAATACGTGTATATATATATGTATAGCAGTCCATTAATTAGTTTTTGAGCCACTTTTGACTTCCTATTGTGTACAATGATTTACTTTTGGCAAATTCCCTTTAATTACATTTACAATAGTTCATGAACCAGATGCTGAAAAATGACAAAAGTTCTGCAAATATTTTATAACTGATAATTTATTTGTGTGGCTAGTAAGTAGGCTTAAAGAACAAATTTAAATGCCACTAAAAAAGTCCACATAGACAATGCCTCAACTTTCTCTCATTAGACTGTACACAATGGATGGTCCCCATTGAAATCATAAAAAGCTTATATTATGTATTTGTTCAACAATGTTTTAATCCAATCAGCAACATCATAGAATATGTAGATAATAAAAGGGCTTAAAATTTTTTTTACCATAGTCATTTCAATCTATTTGCATTAATTTTTTATTACTAAAAAAACCAGTGCAAATGTAAGAAAGTGTCTTGCATTTCTTTATTCTCTACTATACTTCATTTTATTTATGAATTTGTAATAAAAATTATTTTTGAATTGTATGCAAATTTTATCATTAAAAATTATTATTATTCCAGAATCAGTTTTGTTTAAAATATATAAGTTAATTTTATTACACTTCATGAAACTTGATACCATTTTGCACTTTAAAAAAAATAAAGAATTGTTTTTTTTAAATTAAGAAGGATGAAGTAATTAAATTTCTTTTGCATGTAATATAACTCCAAATATGATTTTTAAAAAACAAATACAGGTAGGCCTCCTATAACGCGGTAGATACGTTCCTTGAAAATACCGCGTTATAGGAGACACCAACTTAATACAAAAACTGGGATTCGGTTCTAAAAAGAGAAAAACTTGGCGTTTGAATGGAGTTTTTTCAATTTTTCAAACCAGCCATTGCTAGCCACGAATTTAACACTGGTTTCATCAGCTGACGACTGTCCCATTTGTTTTAAATAATCAAATATTTTTAAGGCTTTGTTTTTAAGTGCACTTTTATTTAAAGGCAACCGTTTCTTGTTCATATTTTCTACCCATAATATTAGTGCTTGTTCCTTTTTTTTCTTTTCATTGTAGGTGCTGTCGGACGAGCAACATTTTTCGCAAGAATAGATGATCCGGATGCGACTGAATTCCTAATCTTTTCTTCCTATTGCTTAATCGACCGAATAGTTGACTCATTTAAATTAAAATGCCTACCAATATCAGCTATCCGCTCTTGATTTTTAATTCGATCCAAAATTTCTATCTTTGTTTGAAGAGATATAAATTTCCTTTTTAACGACGGTCCTTTCTTTTCATTCGACATTGTTATGGCTAAAATTTTTTCAAATAGTTTTGTGGACAGTAAAAATTGAAAAAAATAACTTCCCTTTACTATGTTAAAAATATACACCCAATAGACGTTTATACTGTATTTTGGACCATTTTTGCAGTCCCCACCTATTGAAAGAGTATAAATTATCGAAAATTCAGTGATATATTTGAGTGTTTATGGTAACTGATGCACATCTGTCTAGAAACCGGTCTTCCCCT